ACCTGCTGCTGAGATATTGAGTGTTTTCTAATCATTCTCTGTCTTGCACATCTCATTGAAGCCTGTTACAGTGACTGCCAGTCAAGTGGGGAGAATGGGATGATCCTGGTGCAGAGAGTTTGAGGAGAAGGATGAAAATCTCGGTAGGTGTCATTTTAAATGACAGTTATAAGAATCATAGAGTATGATGGGAGGGACAGAGGAATGATCAGAGATAGACAGTGATGGCCTGAGAGAAGGAAAAATATCAGAAGAGTCATAAACAGAGCCAGGAAAGAGACATCCCATGAACACAATTGCTTAGTACATGTTGCTCTTATAACGTGAATGTATTGTTCGATCCATGCCCCTGTGGAAGCAGTCGGACACAAATAACTATCTTTATTGCACAGGCAGAGCTCATAGTTATTGAAAAGACAATCTTAAGTATACCAGATTGTATAAAGCATCTCGGCTCTCACTAAGGAAAAATAATTGTAATTGCAATGATGCATGAAGGCTTTATAAAATTCAGGATCTTTTGTCCTAAGGGCTTATAAACATACCTGAGAACACACTGTCAGTATGCTATGACTTCAGGCGACTTTATTGTATTAATGTTGTTGCTAACATCACCGAGAGAGTAAAAGAGATGGCTTTCCTGCCATTTAGTGGAGCTTTCCTCAAAGGGACGTCACGAATTCCAAAGCTTTTAGGTCACACGTGTTCAAATCTACTCTATTGCTGCTGCAAATATTACAGCTATTGCCAAAATGTAAATGGGCTAAAATCTTCTTTACAACATCCTTCTAAGAGATCTCCCGATCTGTTGAATATGCATAGCAACTGGCACTTGGACCTGCCATAAAGTGCCCTGTGTTATGCTGAGAGAGTTTTACCCATGCCAAAAGAAAGGGAGATCTACGCTGACAGGGCTGCTATTGCAGGTCCTCCTTTCACCTTTGGTGAAATCTTGGTTGGATGGGGAAGACTCTGTTGCACTGTGATGCTGGAAAAAAAACAGCAAGTTTAGGAATCCAGAGAAAATGTCCCCTGGCATTACAGACGACGTCTCTGTGCTTTCTTCTCCTCTTCAGCCTCTGCCCACCCTCCAGAGGACTCTGTTGCACTACATGGGCTGGAGGGAACAATGCCTTTATTTTTGGAATGTTTCCTTTTTTCCTAGATTTCTCTCCATTGTTCACAGCAAAAAAAAAAAGAAAAAAAGTAGGGGCAGCTGGACCCAATAAAGTCTAGCAGATATAAAGAGGCAAAATTTGGGTGGGGGGACCTCTTCCTTGTGAAAGAAGTAATGTTATTTTCTGATTAAAAAGAACTGTTCTTTATTTTCCTATTGTGGACCCTGCCTTTGATCAGCCCATCCACAGCATTACGAATCCGTGTCATTTCTGCAGCCGTTTTGAGTGAGAGGCTTTTCTGTTCTCTGGCTCCTGCCTCGCCTGGCCCAGGACTCCTTGGAGCAATGAGGCTGGGCTACAGAAGACAACTTAAACCTTTGAGGTTCTGCATCCATATAACAGAGTTCATCGGGAACGGCACAGTAAAAAGGGATGAAACTTGTAAAAGAAAGGGCACTGGTTGCATTCAGCAGAGAAGGAGGACCCATGGTTCAGAAAAGAAACATCTGTGGCAGGGGAAAGCTCCCTGCCCTGTGCTCTCACCAAAGCCTGAAGCTGGCAGCAACGCTTAGAACAAGATAAATTAAAATACTGGAGAAACAGTGCAACACCTCTGTTTGTGGGGCTTGACTGGTGCTGCATGGTCAAGGCCTGAGGACGTCCTTCAGGTCTGGGGTGACACATATTAATTCGATATTAATTATAACATCGGATGGGATTTCTTTTTAATTGGTGGGATGCAGCACGATGATCTGCTCTAGGAGGCAGAAGTATCTCAATCTGAAGATTTGGCTAATGAGATCTGAGCAGAAATGGTGAACTCACTTCTTATGAGCAGTTAATAATTGATTGACCCAGCAATGCAGCTTGGACTGAAGATATTTGCAATGTGGACCTGTCTTTAAGAACCTATGAACACACACAGTAAAAAGTATTTCAGGGATTACTGGGCTTACTTGACCTCTAAAATTAATCTTAAAAGTAACATAAATTACTCTTGAAAATGGAACTAGGCTATTGCAAGTCTGAGTAGGTCAATGTATGACTGTTTTTAAATAATTTGCTCTTGATCTTGAAAAACAGTAACAACCCTAAGCGTTCAAATAATTATAAATTGTCTTAAAGTAATTACAGAATTTTGTACAGAGGGTTCATTTGCTTTTATTTGCTTTTTGCTCTTGAGTTGTTGGGGTTGGCAGTGGTTAATGCTTTCAGTTTTTTCTTCACAAATATTAGGGAATCATTTCTTTCTTAAATGAAAACAGAGACTCTCATATAATTTCATGACTATTACAAAGAACTTAAAGAAAAAAACCCTACTGCAGAAAAATAAGGCTAGGAAGGACTACAAAGAGGTCATCTAGTTCATCCTCCCCCCCAAAGGCAGGATAAACAACAACTATAGTATTCTTTATAGCTGTAATCTATGAAATGCTGAGCGATGAAGACACCACAAATTCCCAGGCAATCTGTTCCAGGACTTGGAAGGCTTTCTCCTGGAAAGGACAGCCATGAGTAAAACTCACCCTACCCATGGGATGATGGAGCACGGGAACACAGACCTGCAAGGGACCACCCAGCTCTCCAAGTCCCGTCCCGACAGCCGGGCATCGTCACCCAGAACTCCTGAGCCTGGGGGATTTGCTAGGTGATAGTCCCTGCTGGGGCTACCCTTGCTATAGACCTACAAGAATTCTCAGACCCCCTCTCAGTACTTGCTTCCCCAGCACTGATGACCTGCTCTGCGTTATCTGAGCCTCTAAAGCCAGCTGGAAGTGCTCCTCAGCAGTGCCACCTAGCCACTCCTGCCTCAGCTGCTCCTTCCTTCCATTAAGCCCTTTGCACTCTTTTGGGGTTTTTCTTTTTTTTTTTTTTTTTTATTTTTTCAAATGATATCCTATTTTCTTCAGGCCACCTCTCCAATTTGTTAAGACAATTTCTAATGCTGTATTCGAACTTCCTTGCAGCCTGTGGCATGTAGGCATCATACAGAATCTTACTAATATCCGTCTCATTTCATTATCAAATAAAAACACCGATTGGTAATAGACCCAAGGGGTTCCTTCCTTCCTCCTGCATCGGCTCTTGCAATCCCAGGGGCTGGTGGGCCTTGCAGTGACCCAGTCGAGGGAACCAGTCAGCAGCAGGAATGTCAAAGCATTGTGGAAATCAGGATAAAGCAGTTGCCAGCTTTGCTGTACCTGGTCACCGAGGAGGTCAGACTGGCCTGACAGGGTCATCCTCACCAAATCCCCACTAGCAGTCCCCCTTCCCATCTCACCATCTGGGTGCTAAAAACCACCTTAATTATCTGCGGTGTTTTGGGGATATTTAGCCAAGATGTGTGGCCTCTATGATAACATTTTATTCATCCTCACCCAGTTTTTTAAGCTCTCCCTGACCCCATGAGAATTCCCAGTGGTAACTTCTAATGATGGCTGAAACATCACCTTCACTAGGCCTAGCTATTGGCAAAAATCCTAATGTTTCCATCTCTACTCCACATTCCCTTTCCTAGTACTCATCGCTGGTGCTAGCAGTTGCCCGACTGAAATGTGAACATTTTTTTTAATACAATTTCCTACCCAAATGATCCCAACCCTTCTGTTCGCTTACATTTCAGCTGTCCATGTTCCTCCTTGCTGAGAAGAACCACCTGGTTTTTCCTCTCCTTGTTTACTGACATGCTTGTGGATGTTTCCCTATCTCCCACGCCACTTGCTGCCTGTCCTCGCACTCCCCCGCGGTCGGAGCCTTGCTCCTTCCAGCTCTGTCCCCACATGCTCGCGCTGTTCGGGACCGGTCTGATTTATACTTTCTGTGTGTGTTCCTTATTGTGTTCAAGATGACCGAGCTGATCTCATGCTATTCTTTCTATCTCGCTTCTGCATTGGGATGGTCTGCAGATGTGCCATTATTCTAATTCCAATAAGGAACCGGCAACTCCCTGGATGTCCCCCCCACACCCCTTGTATTCTGAGGGGTGTACACCCAAACTCATGACTTATTCAAGCCTGCTTCCTTGAAGTTCAGTCTTCCCTCTCAGAACCCACGCTTCTTCCTGGGTAACTTTTGCCCAAGCTGCCTTCCACCTTTGATTTATTTCTAGCAGTCATAATCAACCTTTAAAAAGCTGGAGAAGGCATTGATAGTTGCCCCAAAACATCCCCAAACCCGATGGGCACCCAGTGCTCAGCTGCATTCACCTTCCAAGCGGTACCTACAGAATTAAAGTCCGCCCTCTGAGCCCCGGGCTTTGGCTCTCTTTGCTAACTGCTCTGAGAAATCCTCCTCCCATTTCTCACTGCAGAGAATCCTCCACACATGCAGCCGCTGGGCAGCAAAACTCGTTTTGAGAGACCATTTGCCTGGCGTGACCGCACGCTCAGGTGCTCGCGGTCCCCGGGGGCCGCAGCGAACCACCCTTCTTCCGAGACGAGCTTCTCGGTTTCCACCCTCGTCTAGCTCGCTTCCAACGCCAGCCATGTATAACCCGGGCTCGAGCAACCGCCCAGCCCGTTATTTGCAGCTTCGGTCTGTAAGTCCTGGCTCTGTTTGCTTCAAGAAAAGAAGCGCCAGGTGTGCTGGGCCAGGCCAGGCTGCTCCGCCCGAGGAGAGCCGGGGGGTGGGCGCTGCCCGAGCCAAGCGCTCCGCTCCCTCCACACCCTGTGCCAAGCAGCACCCCCCCCCCCACCCCCCCCACCCGCCAGCCGTTACCGAATTAAACCCCCCCGGAGGCGCGGGGCCCGCTCCCCCCTCACCCCCTTCCCTGCCCGCGCCGGGTCGGGGCCAAACCTCGGCGGAGCCCCGCCCCTCGGCGCCTGGCCCCGCCCCCCGGGCGGAGCCCCGCCCACTGGCGGGGCGCTGGGGCGGCCCCGGCCGCGCAGCCCCGCGGCGGCACGGCGCGTCCCGGCCGAGCATGGAGCAGTAGCGGCTCGGCGCCTCGCCGCTGCGGTACCGCCGGCCATGGGTGCGGAGCGCAGGGGGGAGGCGGCGGCGCCCCGCGGTGGCTGCGCCTGCGGCGGCGGCGGCGGCGGCGGCAGCTGGCGGCTTTTCCTCGGCTTCTTCGCGCTGTCGCTGGCGCTGCACGTCCTGACGCTGGGCTGCTACCTGGAGCTGCGCTCCGAGCTCCGCCGCGACCGCGGCCCGCAGCCCGTCGCCCCGCCGCGGCGGGACGGGACGGCGGCAGCGCCGGGCTCCCCGGCCGCCGGTCGGCCGCAGCGGCCCGCCGAGGGAGCGGAGCGGCGCCAGCAGGTGGGTGCCGGCCGGGGGAGGGTCGCGGCCGGGCGGGACCGCACTTGTCGCGGAGCCCCGCGCACCCCCAGCCCCTCTTTCTTTCCCTCCCCCTCCCCAGCCCGCTCGGGGGACCCCGGCGGTGGTGGCTCCATCCCTCCGCCCGCAGATGCGGTTTCGGGCAGTCCCAGTCCCTTAGGCGCTTAAAAAAAAAAAAAAAAAACAAACAAAAAAAAAACAAAACAAACCCCCAAGAACAACAACCAAACCCAAAACCTCACTTGTGTTTATTTAGAAAGAAAAAAAAAGGAGAGGAAAGCCCCAAACTGTCGCAGGAGGGAGTTAAATTTGGAATCAACTCGGCTTCCTCTGCCTTGGCTGGAAAGTGTGCAGCGGGAGCCGGGGGTCTCTGAGGGGCTGCCCGGGCCCGCCTGCGCTCCACCTGCTGCCTGCCGCTTTCCTGTCGCTCTGTCGTGACAGCCCCGCGATGTCGGCTCCGCTCCCAACAGGCTGGCCGGGCCGGGGGCACAGCGCGGTGCCGCTGCCGGCGGGAGCAGGCGGCTGGGGGCAGCGGCTCGGCCCGGGGCAGCCCCGGGGGGTCCGGGGTCACCTCCCCGGCCCTGCTGCAGCTGAAGAGCTCTGCCCAGTTCAGCTTTAACTCCAGTCCTCCTGCCCACCTCATTTTGCGATGGAAATCCTTGTCCCCGCACTCCCCGCGCTTGCCTCTCTCCTCCTGGGGTGGTTTTCTTATTTGAATTTTTTTTTTTTCCCCCCACTTGTCCCACAAACCAAAATGCATCAGCAGCCTTTTCAGTGATGGCTCAGCCTCCCACCCCCCCCCAGCAGCAGTTTATAAATCTGAACCGTGCAGGAGAGGTTGGCTTCTGCCTCCGGTTTTCCTTGCTGGTGTGTTGAGCCCCTGGGAGCGGTGGTGCCCGGAGGGGCTTGCCTGTCCCGAGAGCCTCTGGGAAAGCAGGAGCAGAGCCGGGGCCTCCGCTCACAAACTTAGCTCATTTTTTCCAGGCACGAAACCTCTCTGCAAGCAGGATAAGCTGGAGGAAGGAGTTTCCTCCCCTTTGAGCCTCGTGAGCGGATGGCCCGTTCCCCAAAGTGTGCCGGGTGGCTTTGCTGGGGGTCCTGGGGGGAGCAGAGATGCACAGCCCTGCCTCGGTGCCCCAGCAGCCCTTGCCTTGCTGCTTATCAGTGCGTGGGGGGGGGAGCGGGACAAAAATAGCTTTGATAAAGCTGCGAGTTTGGAAACTCTTCCTCCTACTTGGCAGCGGGCAGCCGTTCCGCTGCGCTGGCCTCGGCTGCTCCCGGGAAAGCCGGGCTTACGCCTTCCAGTGGGGCTTTGGATTTTGCAGCTTCCAGTAATAAAATCGAAGTAAGCGTTGAACCGGAGAGAACCTGTGCTATCTGGACATCACTTTTTTTGCCCCCCTTCTGTACTTAAGCGGCATCAACATAGAGTCAGAGCGGCTTGAGGTCATGTTTGAATTCTTAGGTTGTCTTGTAATAGCATGCGGCTGAAGTTGCTTTTGTCTTATCATGCTGGATCTGTTTAGTCTTTAGAGCTCTTCTTTCCAGCTAATGTATAATGAAATACCAGGCTAAATAGTTGAGGCATTCATAAATTACAGCGTTAGATAATTTGTCTCTGGATGTGTACGAAGATCCAACATCGCTTGCTACAGCTGACATACTCCAGATAAGGTAACGCTAATTATTTATTTCTTTATTTTACATCTGGCCTGTCAGGCGTAAGATGAAAAATTTTTGGTCATATTGAAGCAGTTGGTTGTGAGAGAAAGTTTCCTTGTAGTAAGGGCATGTGAAACACTGATCTTAATGGGCAGCGTACAGCTTGCAGCCTAACTTCTGGCACCAAAACCACTTTGTTTGGAAACTGGTGCTGTGACAACGTGTAATTAACGTTACTTGTAGTTGTGCTTCTCTCCTGTTTCTCACTGACTTTTCTGCCTTACCGTTCGCCTGAGTATATGTAGCTAAAACCAACCACCTTCTGTCTTACGGTGCTGTGAATATATCCCTTCTGTGATTAAAGCAATGAGAGGAGGTATTTGCAAACAGCCTTATTTAAAAACTTGTCATCGACAATGTTAAAAACTTTGAGGTATGTATGGGGTTCCTAGCTGCTTTCCAACCTGTAGAAGCCAGGCTGCACTACTGGTAAATCCAAAGTGCAGTCCCATGCACATGTATCAGGAGACAGATACTTACGTAAATTATGCAGAAATTACTAAATAATTATTTCGAGAGATCTGATCAATGACATTTCTCTCCCGGGGAGAGTCCCAGGGACTCGGTCAGAGTTGGGGTGCATTGGGGGGACCCAGCATCCCGATAAACGTGGTGCTGTGAGCCCTTGAAGTCCTTTTGCTGTGTTTAGCTATGTGAAGTGTTTTCAGTAAAGAGGCCAAGTAATTACTGTATGTGTTGCGATTGTACAAGCTGATTTAAAACCAAAAAATATTCCCCTCCCTGACCCTTTTTTGTTTTTGTTTTTTTCTTTTTTTCCCTTCCTGACCTGAGGCAAGAGGGAGAGGAATAGGGGGAAGGATGGGGAGCGTTGGTCAGCACTGAGATTTTGGCAGAAATCTCACCTGGCCGTGTGCCAGAAATGACCTCATGACAGGAGTGAGATTTGGCAGCTTGATAACGGCCCGCTTCCCTATCTTACAGGGTACTCAAATATGTAACTCATTTAAGATACAAGGGCAATTTTTCATGGCAAAGGTTGAGGCATTGTAGTTCACATCTTTGTCCCAGAAGCTGTGGGGTGTTGCATCACTGGTTTGGCTTTGAGATGAAAAGTTGGTAAATGACGCTTTAATGCATCGATTGCTGTCCCTCGGAGATCCGATAGCAGATTTGGGGAATGGTAGTACATTTAACCTTGACTGATGTTATAAAATCCAAATAATCTCTTCAGATGGATGTGCTGTGGAATACAAAAGTGATTCTGTCAGCGTGTTCATTAGTGTTTGTCAGGCGCTTTGCTAATGGCTCTGCTCACGGAGAACAGGCAGCAGGGTACTATGTACCACTCATTAAAATATTTAATGCCTTAACTAGGTCATATTTTGTTGTCAAAAAAAATAATCTGTGTTATATTTGAGCCTCATGAAGCATCATTTATGTGATTTTTCTCTGAGGAAGTCAGTGTTATGCCATGTTTCTGCAAAAACTTGGTTTTTGCAATTACCAAAAAGTAGCAGTCAGGGTCCTGCTGTTCCAGCAGTCATTAGGTGGTACATAGCCACGTTAATTTATGTCTGCCTTCTAAAAGCCTTCTTGCTCATTTGATAAGGAAATCATAGGAATAAAGCTTTAGAGGCGAAGAAGTATTTTGCTTGTAGTCATGGATAAAGAAATATAGTGAGAGTGTGCAACTTAGTCTATGCATGCTGCTTTTTGTTATATTTAGTAAAATATACTAAATAGTATTTACTATAAAAAAGTAGTATTTACTATATTTAGTAAAAATTAATAACGGCTTTATGTGTGGGGGAAGTAGGAAAAGCTTTAGAGAGTACTATATAGCTTTTTCTCCGTTTCTGGTCAGGATGCTGTGACAGAGTAGTTCTTGGTGAATTATTTGAATGGTTTCACCTGGAGAAGGGTTCTGGCATGTTGGCCTCTAACTAACTGGCTGTGGGAAAGGGCTGTTGGTTGTAGAGGACAGGTGGACATCGCAGTGTCTTTCACGCTTAGCCTGTTGTCCACCCTCTGCCCCTGAAGGGTTATAACTGAAAATAGGGAATTGTGGCCAGGTACTTGCTGCCATCTGTTCTCAAGGTAATTGTACAGTGTTTCTCAAAATAATGTTGTCAGTATCGTATAAGTAGCTCTATACTGAAATGGAATTTTAGAGGTTGGTCAGAACATCTAAGGCAAGGCTTATCTAGTGTAAAAGCAGAAGGTGCTTTTAGACACCAAGGTGGCCAGCCACTAATGAGGGCACCTTTGTGTCTTTTGCCTCACTAATGTGAAATTGCAGTTATTTTGCCCTTTCTTTTCAACTCCAGCTCCAGAGCACAAGACAGCATTCGGGTGCGATTTGCACAACACGCTGTCGATGGGTCTGAAAGGCACTAAAGCTGCTCCGGAGGCTTCTCCCTCCCCAAGCATACCTCGAGCTCATCCATGCGCGTTCATCCCCGTGCCTGGTTCCCGCACCCCGAGCCGGGAGCCTGCACCGGCGCGTGATGGATCAGGGACGAGCTGAAACCCGACAGCCTGCTGAAAGCTTTGAGCGGGGTGTCTTGTTGGAAACGCTGCTCTGGCGTTAGCCTCCTGTGAAAGCAGCTTCCCCGTGGGGCTCAAACCTTTAAATGCCTGTTCGGGGCTCGTGCTTTGGGGTTTCATGGCTTCTGATCTCGGGTTGTGAAAACCCTGGGTCCATGCAGGTGGGCTGTGGAGCAGAAGGAAGATGGTGTTTAGGGATGCACTTCATGGTGGGTTTTCCCTTCAATTACACTTGGCAGTCTTGGTTGTAGCTGGAGGAAGCTCTTACAGGGCAATAAAGGGAGACAGCAGTGTGCTATCTGGCTATTAACTCAACAGGGCTCTGGTAACCTTTACTCATGTTTTAATGGTGCCCATCCCTCAACAGAGAGGATAACATTCCTGAGGCTGCGCGAGGTCTGGGGTCTGTGCCGGGGAGAGGGGGCTGCATCAGGGTTGCCTGAAATCAAATAGAAAACATATTTCTGCTACTATGCCTATGAATATTCTGTGCAAAATCTGGCATGAATCCATCAACTGCTTTTAAAAAGAAAATGGTACAGAGTGTCAGTAGAATGGCAGTGACTGCTGGGTATGTTGCATTAATTGGAAAATTAAGTGCAGCATGCACTTTGCCTGGAGGGTTTGAGGTGCCTCTGTGTGCTGTACTGTAGGTTTGACTGCTGGCGTGCAGAGGAACCCTGTCTTTTGGCTGTGGGGGGACTGCTGCTGCCGTATTGGCACCATGTGCTCATTTACAGAGATTTATGCTG